ATTGGGCTGCCGCTTCTGTGGTCCCCTGTTCCAGGATTATGTGCTGTGTATAGTATCATCTCCAGTACATGGCTTCAAGTAGGCAAAAATCCATGCAAATATTTTGATCAAAACCAGGTGTGAGTGGAAATGGAGGACCACTATGGCTTTTGCAGAAACTACCATTTTGTGGTCTGTTGTGAACTTCAGTGTGGGCTATATTTGATAACTGTGGTATTTATAATGAAGGGTTAGGATGATGGTTTCCGTGCTCTGAACAGTGAGGTTGCGGTACACGGCCTTCACAACTACATTAAATAAAATAACAGCTATGGATTTGCAAGGACTCTGCTTACTGGGACCATATAGTTTCCCTGACTTGCTTGCTGGTCTCTAGGAGATGCTGAGTAATTAAACAAGAAAAAAGTGGTTAGCCTGTTGGTAGCCTCAGGAACGTGAGACACAAGAATAATGATCCTGATGAATTTCAGTTCCGTTGAATTGAAAAAAGAGCTTGCTGCATTTTGATTTTATAGAGCCTAAGTGCCATTATTTTCTTTGCTTGACTTCTCTTTCTTCCTGCCAAGATATGTAGGCCCTATATTAGCAATCAGGATGAGGAATATGGGTGATGATTTCCGCAAAAACACAATGCAGTGTCTTTAGTTTGGCACAAAACATGCTTCCCTTTTTCCCCAGGCTGCTGCAAAGCTAAACATGTATGGAGACTTATCTTCACTTATGTAAATATTCATTTTTGAGAATTTCATTAGCATAACTTTTAACCTCTTTCATTCCAGAGAAGGTTTTATGCTCTGAAAGAGAAGCTCTATTTTGCAACACATATAGTTCTCTAAGCTTTCATATAACTACTGTCACAACATAATTGGAGTTACTACTGATCTGTTTACCGGGAGGAAAAAGAGGAGAAAATCCTACTTTTCTAGGAAGTTTTTATTCAGTTGCAGTGTGCTCTCAATTGTCATGCTCTACTTTTTGAGCTTTTTGTTCTTTCCACTTATGGTGAGAAAAACAAGATATAAAGCATTTGTGATGGCATAAAATGACTTGTATGCATGGGGAAAAAAAAAATCTTGAAATGATAAGGATGTGATTCTTGCACCTAAGTGCTAGAGTGAACCAATCCTAGAAGCTTTGCCAGGAACTGGGCATAGGACTTTCCTGATGTGGAAGCTCAGCTTCTCATCAAGTTCTTTTTAAAATCTTTAGAGAGAAAGAGAAGACTTTATGGTGTGGTTCTTCTTCTGACTTGTTTCAGATGCCTTTTTTATAGCAAAATGAATTATTCTCTAGAAATATTTCTTTCTATTGTCTATAAAGATATATAATTTCAAAACTAGACACATACATTTAGTGACATAATTATAGCCACCCAAGGTCCTTCACTGCCACTTTACCACTTTCGTATAAATAAATAAATAGGTTCTGTTACAAAAATATTGTATTTTTTCCTGCATCAAGAAGCTTCAATAATTTTGCAAGTATAATTATTTTTATGCTGCTGTTGACTTTGCATAGTCTGTGTAACATGATGGCGGTCCATGTCACAGAAGACTTGACTATTAGTTGAGGAAATCAATGAAAAACATTGTGGGTGTTTTTGTTTTGTTTTTTTAACAGCTGGTATTATAAAACATTAAAAAAGGGGAAGTGCTGTAAATATATACTCTGTCATTCTGTTATCATTTAATGATGGAAACTTGTATGCAAGTACAAGTAAAGCTATTTACTGCTGCTTCTTTCTTTTCTGGTACACAGGAATACTTGTCACTTCATCCACTGCTTCTGAGAGTAGTGGTGTTAAAGCTCTGTCATAATGACAGCCTAAATGTCTATGTTGATGACTGATTTAAACCTCTGGCTGCTTGATTTATTTCCAAAAGCCTGAACCTGGTCTAGAGGAGCAGGGTGCTTTCATAGTTCATGACCTCAGTGGACTCAAACTGGGTCTGTGGTTAGACAGCTCTATTTTCCCTGGGTGCTGTGCTCCTCTGGATTCATAAAGACTCCTGGAGCTGGAATTAGGAAATTTATGAGTTCAGATATGAAGGGTTTGATGTAAGAAAGTGCATAGCATTTAAAAAAAAAAAAATATTTTGTGTAGTTGAAATATGCCTTGCACTCAGAACTTCAATTTTTCTCAACATTAAAAAGAGAAGTGGAATCGTTCTCACACAGAACTGAAAATAATTACAAACAAGTTGTTGTAAGTTTATTGACAAATGATACGTATTACCAAAACCCAGAATTTTGTGCAACTTGGTGGGAAACCTACCTTGCCTTAATAATACTTCATTATTTACTTATATCATTATTGTTCTGATTTGTTTGGTCACTGGATAATTTCATGTGACTTATGTTAAATGCCAAAATGTGAAAAAGTATTAAACCATGTCTTCCACCCCGAAGAGTAATGGAAGAGGGCTGTTACACTTCTGAATTCTTTACTTCTGGATTAAATCAATTATTTCAGAACTATAAAGAAAATGCTCGTGTCTCGGAGAATAATTACCAAGTAGACACCCTTTAACACCCAGAACAAACATCTGGATCATGTTGACTGACTTTTCACCATGGCAAAAAGGATGAATGAAATATAATTCCTGTTTTCTGATATCACTAGGATTTCTTCATTCTCACAACAGCTGGAGCTCCAAATATAAGCATTTATATATTCTTTTTTTTTTAAAGTGTTACAGATGTTATGTGTTTTAAAAAGAACTGGCACATCTTACTATGAAGCAACTTGTGTGTCAAATGGAGTATATAAATGAATTAGTTTTTACATGAAGTCTTTGTTAATCATTAATTTGAGCAAACTATAAAACATTGATGTCTTTGCAAGATATATGAGTAGTATCAGAATAAAGTAATAAGTGCTAATTATTTATGAATAGACTAAGCTGTTTCATTTTCATTTTCTGCATGTGTTTTTTGGGATTTTTTTTTCTTGTATCTGTATGTTTGATTTTCTTAAGTATTTCTAGTGCTCTATTATTTCTAGAATAATATTCTTAATACAGTATAATCTTCTGTGATAAACTGTAGCAGACTGGCTCTGGGACAGAAAAAAAAGCTATGCTAAATTGTGGTCTGAATTTTAGGTCCCTTGTTAGGCTTTAAAAGAAAGAAGTGCATTAAAAATAGTTTGACTCTTTTATGTGGTGGATTAGCCTGGGTTTAGCTTCTTTGAAATCTGGTAATCAGATAAAGTTCTACACAAAGCAACTGCAGCTCTTTGCACTAGTGCTTACGGTGAGGACCAGCTTGAGGTCAGTGATCAAGATGAAGGTACATTTCAAAGAATTTCCCTTGGGAATGTGTGCTGAGAACTGCTGATGGATCAAAAGCACTGGTCTGTGGCAATGAAAAGACACAGAGAAGCACTTACTGTCATGGAAGTACAAACTGTGTTTGCAATAGCACTTGGCATCTTTTGTAAAGTGCATGGCTATCAGGACAACGGGAAGCATGACAGCCTGCCTTACGTACTTAATCTTCTGAGAAGAATTATTTAACCAGCTGTGGCACCTCTCTTTCATGTCTGGACAAGGAGGCCTAGGCACTGGTGTAGGTTTTCTGAGAGTGAAACTGGTCTGTTTTCCCTGACAGTGGAACTGATTCAGTGTTGCTGAAGTGAACATCTTCATCAATGGGGCTGTCCCTGGCCGCTTTGCTATTAGGCTCAGGTAGGATTGCAATGTGCAAAAAGAAAGAAGTCAGTCCTCTAAAATAGAGAAAATAGAGTGTTTGCTGCCACTCTTGAGCATGAGAGAAGATTTTCCTACTCATTCCATGTAATTTCCCAAAACTACAAGCATTTCTGTTGGCTGGACTCTGTTTGGCAGTAGAAGTGAACGTGAATAATGCCATCACATCTTCTCTGTGATAAAATGATACACATTCTAGCCTAGGATCCATTGAAACTTGCAGACAGGCACACACAAGCAAAAGGCAATATAGCTGTTTGACTTGATTGGTTTTTTTCTTCTTTACATCAATTTGGGAAGGAGAACTGGCTTATTGCTTTTTGTAGTTCAAAACAAATGTATGAGCTTATATATATATATTTTTATATATATATATATGCCTAGACAATGCAGGAAGTAGTTTTCAGTGGGATTGATACAGACCATAAAATGAAGCTTTTGTAACTGCAGCTGCTTTTTGTAGAAGGAGAGTCAGAATGCCCTCTCCCTGCTGCCTCTATGAAATTTTGAATAAGTATGATATGCCAACAGAGTTCTTACCCAGAACTCCTGGGCATGTTATGAAGTATGTGAAGAAGTAATTGGCAATTACATAGGAATTTTACTACACTGTATTTTATTCTGTCTTCCTAATTATTCCAAGAACACTTTCTGGGTGCTGTATAAAAAGGCTGTTAGATTTTTTTTCCCCCTTTGGAGACTGAAGTGATCACTCCTTCATGTTGGTGACAAACTTCTAGTATTTACAGAAACTTTTTTCATAGGTGGTCTGAATTTCTTACTTCACAGCATGCTCTGTTGCAGTATTGTATTTTGAACTTGACAACTGTGTGTAATGAGTACAAATCTGAATGATCCAGTAGTCATCTAGTAATTAGCTAGTGGCTATAATGTTTTAAGAGGGTAAGTACCCTTACAGGATGAGCAGTACCTGTGCTTGATGACAAGTGTAACAAAATAAAGAATGCATTAAATTTAAAGCCACTGGTGAGTGATTTTAGGAAAAAATTGCTTTAATATATCTTACACATGCAGTATGCCAGGATGCCTACTGTATATGTAAGACAAGAACTAAGAACTGCCCGGAAAGTCTTGTATCCGTGTGCAGGAACTTGACTACAAGCAGCTATTTACATTTTGGGACCATTAAAATTTGTGGTTATTTTGCTATGTCTGTGACTTTTGTAAAGGAGAATTCCTACCATATGGGATATCTGTCTTCACTTTGCTCCAGTGTTTGCTTTGGTGATTCTTCTTCCCATATGACTACTGCTGTGTACTGGGACTTACCTCAGTTAATGTACAGACTGACTTCTCAGAAACCACTTGGAAAGTTATACCAAGATTGAAGGGAATTCATCTGTAAATTGCCAAATTCTTTTTGTGTCTGAAGCGAGAGCACTGCAAATTAACAATGAGAACATTAGTATAGTTAGTCTGTCTCAGATCAGTTACAACTGAAATGTTTTCAGCTAATGTATCCAGCTGCTGCTGTTGTCATGTTGATATCCCAAACCAAATGGAGAAAGAGGAGATGGGAACAGCATGAAGAGCAAGATGATGTAGTGGGATTTCATTTTTTAAGTTAGGCTGATATGGCACTCTCCTTAGGTGGGAAAAAGTGACAGCAAAAAAGGAGACAGAAGAAATGGGATGCCAAAAAAGACTAATGTGGTCTGATGGTTGCTACTCCCCAGGCCCACGTGTTGCTAGTGCAACAAACCAAGAGTTATTTGCAACCATTTCACAGTTTTTTCCCTGATCTTTTTATTGGAGACTGGAAACTCATTAATCTGGAAAGTAGCCAGTAGCTTTAGCTTGCGCTCATACTTGGGTATGAAAGTGTGAGAGGTACTTGGCACAGGGGCACAGAGCAGAAATGGTTTAGATTTTAAGTGCTGAAATATTAATGGGGCCCAGGGAAAGTCTTGTCTTGTGAACACGTTATTCTGTAATTATTCAGTTTTCACCTTCCTCAGAAACATCCAGTTTTAGTCACCAGTAGATAAAATATTCTGGCAACTAGCCTGATTTAATGAAGGTAATGTTTGTTGAAAATTGTCAAAAGTTATACTGACAGAAACTTTCAGAACATGGTTAAGCAGGTACACAGACTGAAATATCACTCAGTACTAATTTAAAGTGCAGGAAAAATATTTCTACTCCATTTTCTTTAAAACATTAACCTTACTGCAGAACATAAAAGAATAGATGAACTGAAAAGTTCACCTTCCGTTTATGCTTGTCTTTGTCCTCTGTAACACTGGGACCAGTGAGTGAGTGAGGCAGCTACCAACTCACACTCCTTTGCTGCCACAGGTAAGAGTATTCCTCAAAGGACAGAGCTCATATGCCTAAACTTGTTTGGTGAAATATTTTCAGATACCCCCAGTACATGCCTGATCCTAGTTTTGCATCATGACTGTTTGAACATAAAATGTAAGAACAAGGTAACAGAACAGCAGCAGCAGTGGTTCCTTGGGTATCTACACTGGTTTGCTGTTATTTAAAATGTACAGTTTTGTCCTCTCTAATTCCTTACCTTATTTTCTTATGGTCTTGTCTTATGATGGTCCTGATGCTGATGGCACATTGGACTGCCTTTGCACTAGCATTTCAAGTCAGGGATGTGCTTCTGAAGCAAATCTCTGGATTGTCCCCAGTTGCATTGGATTATATTAGGGGAGGGGTGGTCTGCAAGCACATAAAATAGGTTCCAAACATTAACATGAGAAATTCCATTTAGGCATTTAGGTTCCCCATTATCTAACTGGGAGTAGCCATAATTTTTGATGCCAAATTGTAAGAGAAAAAAAAGAAAAAAAGAAAACATTATTATTAAGTGTTTGTTAAGACAATGCAAATAATTTACGGTTCCATAAGAGCTTTGCTTTAGTAAGCAGCTGTCAGCTTGCTGATTTTCAGATTTGGAGATGTCCTCTAGTGAAAGTGCATTGTTTTTGTCTGCACAGGTCTGCCAACAGATTTCTTACAGAAAAGATGTGTTTCAGACTGAATCAGAGCTGTGTTAAGCTTATTCTTCTCTCTCTAATAATGTTACTATGTTAAAGTATCAGGGCAGAGCATGGTGGTGGTGAGAGTGGTATTTCTCTCAATACTATTACAGATTAAATATGGTTCAGGAACTACCAGAAGCAGAAGGAGTGTTTATGTATTTAATTCCTTTTCTACACAGATTTGTCCAACTGAATGTAGAAAAAAAACACAAAACAAACAAACAAAAACCCAAACAATACCACACAGAAATCATCAAAGGGGCCAACCAATGAAGTACAACAACAAATACACATATGAGTAGTTACACTGTTTGGTGGCATCAAGTTTTAACTATATACTATAGTGTATGAAGAAACCTCATTTTAGTTTGTTTTGATGGCTCTGACCCTAGTAGCCTCATCTGTTTTTAACCCTGATTTTAAAAAAGGCAATGAATGGTTTTTTGCCCTCATTTTGTCCCAGTACAGAGGGTTTTATGAGCCTCTGCCACACTACCTTTCAGTCTGATCCTTGACAGGATGAAAACAATTGATTTTGTTTTTTTCTTTTGTGGAAACAAATTCTGATAGTCCTTGTTGTATTCACTTAACCTCTTACTAATTCTACTATTCCTGTCAAACTGTTGTGCTTCCCTTGGACTCATCCTTCAAAATGAAAATGAAGGCAAGTTTTATGCTGTGCTGATGCCTTAAGATGCTGGGTTGCTTTTCTTGTCTTTCTGCATTTTACAGAATGATACCATGAATTATTTTCACTGTCATTGTAAATAAGAAGTGCTACTCTCATTATTTGCCTGTGTTTGGACTGGGGCATAGGCCCTTTCTGTGGGCTGCTTTTATTTGCTGGTATGACAGGAAACTAATCTGAAGAAATACAGTAATTTTATACAATATCTGACTTTGTATTTACAGAAGGGAGCAATGGGAGCCCAGGCTGTCTGAAGGGAAGGATGATATTCTTTTGATTGTCAACTGGGCCAGTGTAATGGTTTGTGCCCATAAAACTGCAGCTGTGATTATTTTTTGCATGTTTCTTACACCTAAATTGGGGACTGTCGATGGTCTTTGGGCAAGAGGTTTAAACTGTATCCTATTAGGCTCATAGGAGGGTGAAATGAGAATATGTGGACCAGAAATGATGCTTAATTTTCTCATTTCTTGAAACTTAGAAAGTATTATGACCTCAGTCATGTTGCTGTGTTTCAAAGTACATGAAATGAAAATTTATTTTGGATGTAGAGCAGAGAATAACTGAACTATAGAAACTTGCTCCAAATAGAAGATCATAAGCCTGTGGCATTTTTGCAAATGACTGTAAAACCAGTGTTCTCTGAACAATGCTGTTTTGACTGGTCAGTGACAGTTCATTCGATCAGGTGGATGTCTGCTAGTTAGGATGGTTTTGCCATGACTGCACCATATCTTTTAAAAAGAACAACAATAATAAGTGCAATAAAGCAGGAGACAAGCTAAGTTCAATTTTAGAAATATAATGAATTATATCAGAATTATAATAATTATTTGCTTTTTCAAAATAATTAATGAAAAAAGTTGTGACTGTTCCAAATGGGAATAGGTAATCCTGAGATTTGTAGGTAATGTATTATGTGTTAAAAAGCTTGCTAATTTGTTGTCATTTATTATGAATAATTAGTATTGTCCTAAAAGATTTATTTAATACTTCTCTGCTTCAGTGTAAAACACTTTTTGCTCACCAAAAGCTGTGACTAGTGTTAACCAACCCTACATAAAACCTTTTAGCAGTGTCAATTTATTGTGCCCTCTGTGTATTTATAGTGTCAATAGCTCTCTGTTAGAAATTTTATTCTAAACCACTTTTGTAGTGAAACATAAAGCAATCTCTTTAATAATCTAACGGAAGTTCATTGTGTTTAAGTAAGTTTCAATGCGCAGTTCTTTCTGTTCTAGGGCTGGTTGTGGGGATTTAGCATCTGTCTCTTATCTCAACAATATTAGCATAGTTTTGGGAAAAAATTGAAATGGAAGGAGTGGTAGATGATAAACTGAGAGAAAAAGTTTGGATTTCATGTGATTAGGCTTACCCTTAGCTCTGCTTTAAGAACAAAATAGAATGATATACTGAGTCCGAATGTGAAAGAGGCAAGACAGTAAGCACTACCCTTCCATACTAATTTGACACCTGATGCAATTCTTCATATTAAGTTTGCTTTGAGGTTAGCTGAAAACATTTTAACACTCAGCACACTTGATTTCTTCTTTTTTAAACTGGGGATAGCCTGGGAACCATCAAGTGCCAAATGCTTTCATCAAATCCCCCATAGACAAAAGGGGATTCTATAGGAAATCCATTTACTCTCAGGAGGTTTCAACAAAACACATTTTCAGTTATTCAAAGTGAAAGAATAAATCTGTAGCTCTTTCTAAAGAGACTTATTTCATGGCCCTAGGAGGCAGACACAGTACTGGATTTAAAACAAAGCTGAAACAAAAGCATCCTCACCAGGTTCAGTAAATTGTGGTGATATTTTATCGGTCTGTAATACATCTGAATGTGAGAGCTATTCAGTTACTGCCCAACCTAGCAACACAGATAGCCTATCAGGGGAAAAATATATGCTGTGGGGATGATGAATTTTGATTAAATAAAGTAATGTTGAGTGGATCAGCCTCTCAATTAAAAGAGAGAGCTGTGCTCTGATCTGATAGCTGTGATCATGACATAGAAGATTACTTCTACAGCAGTGGAAATCTTAAACAAACAACGTGATGTTTTACCTGTATTTAATCTTTCTCATTGCAGATCATCTTTATACGTAAACACACTGGTAATTAACCTTGCCTGACTTATTTAACGAGGACACAGTTGCTGCCACAGTAAAGGCTCATAGCTCAAACACAGGGCTGATGTTACTGAATAAATACAGTGAGGGGAAGCTGACTAGCTCTGGAGGTCGACTCCCACACCACACAATAACCCTGGATGACAGCCAGCAGGTAATGTACCTATATGCATCCATCTGTTGTTTTACATCAAGGATAAATGGTTATATATATATACATAACTTTTGGTGGCAGAGACTACTTCTGCATGTATTCCTACTGGGCATTGAGGTGTCAGGAGGTAATCAATTGCCTCTTTGTTTAGTGCAAAATACAGAAATATCTGCTTGTGCATATTTTCTGTAAAGATCAGGCTATAGCATCTATTTGAACTCAGTTTTAGAGTAATTTATAGACCAGCATGGTGCTTGCTAGGCCATTCACAAGCATCCCTCTCACTGTGGTATATCAAAATACTCCACAGAAACATACTTCATCAAATTCATACTGCTACAGTATTTGACCAGTGATGTGTAGACCTGCAGTGCAGAATGCTGCAGGAGTACAGACAAGTCTTTTATGGGATGATCAGTGTTCTTCCTCTTCAGTGATAGCATTCATTAATGGAAATCTAAATGTTCTTGCCATATAACACATTCTGAAACAGTACCAAAAAGAATATGGGAACTCTCTGAGTTTATTTCCCCTCTGTTGTTTACAAGGTCGATGAAAATACTGAATTTTTATAAGAAGCTAATTTGTAAAGAATCACTACAAACCATAATTCTTATCAGTTAGTCTGTTTTAGTTGAAGAAAAAACTCATTCTCTGACAGAAAATTATATGGGTTTTTTTTAGATTGTTTAAATGAGAGACAGTTTGAATCACCATTGTGCATTGTATATAAAAAATGGAAATGAACTGCAAAGTTATCAGTGCCATCTTGATATATAAAATTACTTAAATATTTGTTAGGTATGATGAAATAAAACTAGCAGCCAGAATTTCTGGTTGGTTTTGGTGGGATGACTTTTTTTTGTTGACTTTTTTTTGGTGGGTTTTTATGTTTGGTTTTTTTTTTCCTGAAGCTATGGTTTCCAGATGTGTGGGATCAACAGTAGTTGTACTAGGTTTGATGATATGTTGTGGCTGAAGGCTTGAGACTTTAAAGATGCATGTTATGTGCAGCAAAGGAAATGGGAAGGAACTGTAGACTGGCTGAAAACATTAATGCTTAGAACTCAAAATTAAAGCATACAAAAGTTTCTGAGAATAGCATAAGAATCATCACAGTTTTTGAAAGGAATATTTCAGGCTGGCAACATTTTAAGAGAAGATAGTATATAAAACCTCCATTGCTTCAAAATATGTTATACTCTGAGCTCATTTACAGTATGTAGGCTGAGTTCACAGGACTGTATCCTTTTTAATGGATATTGCTTCATTGAAATTCATGGTTTCTATTATTTGCTGATATTCTACACTTTATATGTAAATGTCTTTACAGTTTCACCTGCAAATAAAAACATATAGTTGCAAAACAAGCAAACACAAACAAACAAAAAAGCAGAAGAAATTAATCCTCTACATGATGATAATTGGAAGATTTAGCAAGTGTTGTAAACATGTCATACAAGGACTGCAATTTGGCTAGGTCCACAGAAAATGTTGTAGGCATTTTTGGTACTGCTATATTATTCCATTAAGTGTGTGTTTAGATTTTATTGTTAGATAGATTCTGATAATGTAGCTTGGTGTAGCCCATTTTCAAAATAAGAATAGGTACTGCAGTTCTTGCCCAGAAACTATTAATGTGGCACCCTCATAGAAATCATAGGAACAGCATAAGAAACAGTCTTTCAATAAAAAAATTAC